CGGCCCCTCCGGGTGCCCAAGAGGTGGGTGAGGTTGTGCCGGGCCTGCTGCGCCTGCCTGCGCCGCGCACCGTGGGACTAACTGTGCTCTGCAGCTGTAGGAAATAAATTACGTGTGCGAATAGCACGGCGTGGTTCTGTACAGTTGGGCTTCAGGGTTTTTTTCTGAAGTGTCATTCTGTTTTTACAGCTGGGAAACCGAGGAGCATGGGGACTGCAGTCATACAGAGCCCTTATGTTCCAAATGGGAGCAAAAGCCTTGAATCCCAGTCACATGCAGTGTCTGCAGAAATAAGGGATCATAAAGGCAGCGTACGGCAAAGCGCCACTTTCTTAGGGTAGGTTCTTGTTTGAGCTGACCTTTCTCCAACAAAAGTTTTCCACCACTCCTTCTTAGAGAATAAGGTGTCTGAAGAATGTGGCTTTTTCAGGGAATTGGTCTCCAGCTCTCAACATCTACAGAGCAATTCTGTTACTCGAGTAGCGAACCTGTAACCCTGCTGGCTGAAAGAATAGAGAAGATCCTGAAGGTAGCTGTTGAGGCATTTTCTGCTTCTGTTCATCAGCATCTTGTTTCCAAACAAGCATTGTATTTTCACTAGTCTGGTCTTGTTTTTAACTTTACCATTCTGTCTTGACAAATGTTATGATTCATTTCTGGTTGGTTTTGCAAATAGCGAACATTCCTCTCCTAAAGGGTTGACACATACTTGGGACTGCTGAAAGCTCACAGGGTATGTCTCTGCTAAGCTGGCAGAGCTTGTTTGTGTGCTGGTAGTAAAAAGCAATGCATATGGAGAAAGTTCTCTGGCAAGTGATGAGGCATAAGGCTACTGAGTCACAGGATAGCAGGGAAAGAGCTTGCAACTTGGAGGCGGCATTGAGTTTTTATCAATACACAAGTTCTGTTTTTCTTCTAAGCAGAAAATGAGAGAGGGGGACCAAATTACTTCTGCTGTTGCAAAAGCAAATATTGCTGTCTCTGCTTGGTAGGAGAAGGAACTGAGAAGTGATTGTCTGAAGGGGCCATCAGCTGCAAATAGGCAAGGCACTCGAGTGTGCAGGGATGCTCGCTACCTCTGTGGTTCTGACTTGGCCACTGTATTGCTGTTTGAGAGATACCTGAGCTGCTCTGGGAGAGCATCAGTTTATTTGGCTGCACTGAGCAAGAGTGTTGTACCCCTGTGCTCCCCCAAAAGAAAAGTTTGCGTAGTCCAGAGAAATATAGTATACTCTGACTACATAATTATATCCTGGTTTTGTACCAATAGTTACATTGTGAAGACAAGGCCTTCAGTGTCTTCCTGTGGTATTTCATCTCTTTGCAGGTGTTTCTGGAGGTCCTGAAGGAAACACTGCAATTACCTAGTTTGAGCTGGATATCGTAGGCTGTTTAACTCCATCCAGCTACCTGGCTTGACCATAGTGTCTTGCAGTTCAGTAGTGCATACTCTGCTTGTATAAGTGCATTATAGGGGATTCTTTGTTTTCCTAAAAAAAAAAAATACACATGGTCTTGACTTGTAATCACACAGTGGTATTGGTGGTCTCTGTTTTTTTTCCCTATATGATTGTTGCAAACTGAATTTGGAGAGGGACCAGATATTTTAGTGTACAGCTGAGCAATTGACTTCTAGGTGCCTTTTACCATCTGCATTTGTCATTTATGAACTTTTAACATGTTACGGTTTGCATCCAGTAGAACTGAGGAGAGTGGGAGTGCTGCTAGGTGCAACAGCCTAGAAATGCCCAGAAAATTAATTTGAATGTGCTTTCAGTGGTGTAAATTATAAAGTAAAAGTTGTGCACATCATGATTATTTGTGAGCACTAAGGAATAACTTTGCAATGTGCGGTTTACACTTTCTCCCCTTTAGTGCAGCTATGGTTAGTAAGGTAAACTTGGTACCACTGGAGGCCTGAGTTCTCCACTTATTGATGTGAGGACCAACAGAGAATGTAATCACCATCAGGCAGGGATGTCCTGCAGCTACATTTCCAGCTAAGGAAAGATGAGGAGATTAATGAAGTCCCTTTTTCTTCCCACAGGTGGTTTACTCACTTCTATGTGGTTTCTGTGCTCTGGAATGGCTTTCTGCTGACCTGTCTTTCCCAAGCTGAGTTCCTCGGAGGGTCGCTCCCATCATGGATTCAGCATGTGCAGCATGCTTTTGGCAGGGACTCTCGGAGTGAGGACACAGGCAAGTATTCCAGCTAGTATGATGCAGTCATATGAATATTAGAAAGCTGAACTACTGTCCTGTGCTGAATTTGTGTTCTTCAAGTGCTACTTCATCAGCTGGTTTTAAACTAGGCTCCAGGTGATTTTCCTGGAATGCTACATCCCTTTGTCATTATTCAAGGTAGAAATTATTCTAATGTATGGATATGATGGCTTCCAACAGGCCTTTTAGCAGAAAGTGCCATTAGCACCTTCTAGAAGTAATCTTGCTGTGGTCAGAAGTGCCTCACATGCACAAATATTATCCACAGTACTCACGTAATTTAAAGTTAAGGTAAAATTTTGTTGTGGGAATGGAAAAAAAATAGCCTTTTTGCAGTATTGTTTGAGTTAAATTGTTGCTGTGTGTCTTAAAATCGTTGGGTTTTGTCTGGAAGCAGACAGCGAGCACTTCTCAGCGTTGCTGGTGCTGCTGCTGCTCTGGCTGCACAGCTGCCGGAGGCTCGCCGAGTGCCACTGGACCAGCGTGTTTTCCAGCGGCGTCATTCACGTCGTGCAGTACGGCTTTGGGCTTGGCTACTACATTGCCGTGGGCCTCACTGTGCTGTGTCAAGTGCCTGCTGACATTGGGAATGGTAAGTGCCTGCTTACTTATTCCCAAAGATGCAGTTTTGCTCCATTTGCGTCCATCACGGCAAATGGTTTCATAGGGGGTGTTTGTGTAAGAAGCTTTAACTCTTGAGAAGTAAGAACACTTAGTGGCGTAGTTCAGAGTAACGACATTTCAGTACATCACATAATCAACCAGAATTATAAACAGACACACTTTGATGTTAACTATCACTGTTATTTCCTGAAAGACATCTCACACATACTTCCAGGAGCATCACTGATGACTTTTGCACTGAAATGCTGTTCTGCCAATGACTAGGCCTAACAGGAACGACACAACCAGTAGGAAGATGAACCAATAGGTGGAATGTATTGAATACAAGAAGGACATTCCATGAATGATTGCTGGGGATACAAACAAGTCAATCAATTAGGTCACATATGACTGACATCGCCCCCCCAACAATTCCCAAAAAAGACATAATCTGACCAACACTAGGTGGTACAAGCAAAGAACCAAGGTTTCCCATGTATGGAATGGGAAACAGCCAGATCAGAAAGTTGAACACATAAGATAAGGGTAGCCACATGGCCAGCCCTCCCCTGTCTACCCCGTGTTTGCAAAGGTCCAAGCAGACTGGGGCCCAGCTCCAGGGAGAGTCAGGAGGTCTGCCCTGAACCAGGAAGCTCTGTGGAGTGCACTTCACAGGCAGACACTCCTGACTCCCTGCAAGTGGTCCCAGCTTTTATCCCCAAGCAGGACACCTGACCTTTGTCAGCTCACTGCGGGACCCCTGGGGCTCATTTCCCTTCTGGCTCTCCCTGCAGGGCCGGCCGCACCCTGGGGGGAAGCTATAAGGCAAACTCACCACCTCTTTATGAAGGCCTGTGGGAATCACCCATATGTCAACCTTAATTCGGGGCTTGGGGTTCAAACCCCAGCATTTCAGATGTATATTCTTTATGAAGGACAGTAAAAGGTACCAGTTCTCAAATGCCACTGTGCAACTTCAGTTCTCAAACTGGAGGTTGGTTTTTTTTGTTGTTTGCTTTCCTGTAAGGTGAGTCTGCAAGGCTCTCTTGGCCACCTCCTTTGTTCTCCATTGAGAATCTGCCACTGCTGTGCCTTGCATCAGTCAGTCTTTTTGTTCCCATACTGTAATTTCTCCATTAATAAAGCAAAAATTTGAATTATGACTTGTTTCTGCCAACACACTCCACTGAGTCTCACAACTCAGCTGCTATTGCCCTGCACAGATGAACCATGAGCTGGTTGTAGCCCTTCTCCCCTGACTAATTTTGTAAAGCGGTTGTCACCAGCTACTTAACTTTAGTGAAGTTTCTAACTACTTCCAACCACATGAGCTCTAGTTTAATGACTTTTTTTTAAAAGAACCTTCTGATCTCCTATAGGTAGGAGATCTTTACCTGTCTGACCTGTATGTAAAGCCTTTTTTTTTCTGGACCTGTCTTCTGCCTTTCACATCTTGTAGATTCTTAGAGATGGTGTATTGGCTTGTACACTGGAAATCATTCTTAATACAGTTACATTGGTTTTGAAGGCCTAAATCGTTGACACTGCGTGAGTGTGTGTGTAGGTGTCTGTGTATGTATGTATCTCACTCATTGTGAACAAGACAAACAACTGTGTACTTAGGTGCTGACTTGAGCCATGACAACATCTTTAGTGGGGATGATAAGAGTTACAGAGTGTTGAATATTGAAGTCTTAGACTATCAGTTATGTGTTGGTTGTACATCAAGGTGTACTCAAGCTACTAGATTAAATACTAGGTATTTTTAGTATAGAGCAGTTAAGGGAAATTAACTACCAGATGAGTGCTTAAATGATGCAGATTTTAAAAGCATCTTTCATGGGATTAGAGGCTTACTACTAGAATTTTGTAAGACAGTAATATTTAAAAAATGTGAAGAGCGTTTTGAGATGATGCTTGGGAAGGTATTTCCTGTCTGTGTATTAACAGAATGTATTTAATTCAGGAAAAGAGCTTTCTGTGCAGGTCTGCTGGTACCATGTCTTAGGAGTTACAATGTACATTTGGGCCTCTCTTCACCAACACAGATGTCTTGTGATTCTAGCTAATCTTAGAAAAAGTAAATCAGGTAAGATGTTTCATTTCTGCAAACCATTTACTTAGGTATTCTTTTCCTGGCTGTTTCAAGAGGCTTCTGTAGCTTTTAATACCTTAAAAGAAAGTATTTTTCAATTCCTATAGTGTGGTGCTCCCTATAAGACTTCCAGTAGATTAAATGGAAAACATCGAATGGCTGAATGAGGGGAGTGGTGCTGGTGTCTGTGTCTATGTATAGCTTCACAGAACTTAAAATGAAGGTCTGGCTTCTAGGATCCTAGAGACAGACAAATGGTAATGCTTAGGACTTGTGCCATTCCTTGGGGACCTCACTTCTGTCTCCATATGGGCTAAAAATAAGTTTCCTTACTTTGTATTTGCACAGCCAGCCACAGGTGGCATTTTGCTTCATTGAGAAGTACAAAACTGCCAGATCAGATGGAGGTGGATGATGATGATGATAATTTTAATGAGCATGTTGTTCTGTAATTGTGAGTAGAAAAGTTTGTTTAATGAGTGTTGTTCTCAATTAGTTTCTTTGTTTGCTTTCAGGAAAGGTTGTAAGCCTGAGCCACGGCGTACCTTTCGGAGACTGGTTTGAGAGAGTTTCTTGCCCTCATTATTTTGCAGAGCTCCTCATATATGTATCTATGGCCATCACGCTTGGATTTCACAATGTGACATGGTGGTGTGTAGTGATGTGTGTTCTTTCTAATCAGGCACTGGCTGCTCTTCTGTGTCATGAGTTCTACCAGAAAAACTTCAGCTCCTACCCAAAGCATCGAAAAGCATTTATACCATTTGTTTTTTAGAGGGTTCCTTCTAAAGTACCTTTAGTGCAAACTGTGAAATGTTTTCTGTCCGGGAATAAGAGATCTATGGTTTATTAAAGCCAAGGCAAAACCACATTTTTCTATAGTTCAGGCTTAAAAACTTTTTAAGTGTAATGATAATCTCATCCATGTTACCAATTATGAGGGGAAATGCAAGGTCTCTGCATATCATACAAGCTAAAAAAAAAAAGGCCTACCAAAGACGTGAATGCAAACTGAAGAGATGCTAATTTGCTCTTTTCTCTTTTATATCTTATGCATAAAATGCTTGCTGTTATGCAGCAAGCACAAATACATATGTGAAACCTGTGCAGTCACAGGAAGGTGCAAGGAATCATGTGAAGTACTGTATTTCGTGCCTTGTCTAATATATAAGCTTTTTTATCCCCCAATTTCTTTTCTTTGAATCTCTTCAGAGGGAGGCAAATTGTGTGTTGTCTTTCTGTGCTTCCCTGTTGTTAGTTAGAACCAGTCGCTGCTTTATAAGTGCAAGGACAAAAATTGGTGGAGAAATCTGTAGTGGAGGAATGAGTCATGCTCAGCAATGGAGATAAACAGCCCCTTTCTCTGCATTATCTCTTCTGCACCAAAGTGTTTCTATTCATTGATGAAAACTCCTCATCCCTAAACTGTGATAATCATGGGAGGTTGTTGAGAGAGGCAGTAGAAGAGAATTTGCAGAAAATGAATGTTCTTGGTTATGGTTTTGTCATCCTTATAGTGGGTTGTTGGAATCCCTCGTATCTTGGAGGGGGCAGTTACACGGGATGACTGTAACCATGACCGCACTGGTTTTTAAACAGCCTGTGGGAGCCCCTGTAAGGAACTGTGAGGCAGAGGGCACATGGAAACCAGCACCTGACAGGCATTGCAAATAAGTTCTTTACCAGAGAGATGATGTCACTCAGCACAGGGATATTTTTGCACTTAACTATTGAAGGTTTTGGTCCATTTCATGATACTGGAGTGAAAGATCATGATCAAGTGTGCATGATATAGCATGTAGATGCTGGTGTTCCAGTGTTTTCTACTTATATATGTGTGTATTATTTTGTATATGAGAAGAATTTATACATTGAAGTATATCTTAGGAATTATCTAATTAAAATAGTTTACTACACTTTCTGTTTCTTTATATTTTCAAAATTGCACTATGTATTTGACTAACACAAGCAGTTACTTTGCACGAGATGTGCTTCCTCTGGACTCTCCCAACCCCCCGTTCCATCAGCCTTCCATAGCTCCAGTTCACCGTGGAACCTAATGCTGTCTTGGGACCGCATCTTTCCCTGCGATTATTTTTAGCGATTCCCCAGAGGCGGTGTCGGGGTGCGCAGCCCCCCTCGGGTGACGCAAAGCGCTGCTTCGCACTTGGGCTTTTAGAAACCCTGCGCCGGTTCCCTTCCATGGCATTTTTTTCCTCGCCTCCTTACGCAGCCGTTTCGCTTTGCCGCCCT